GGGACGTGAACGTGCTCACTGTGTGCGGCAGGAATGAAAAGATAACATCGTGGGCGGAAACGCACATGCGAGTATGGATGTGGGTACTCAAGAGGGATTGAAAAATGAGGTGTGGCTACTGGAGTGGTATTGAAAAGAGAGGTGAGGCTACTCTCGAGGGATTGGAAAATGACGGATGGGTTCATTGAGAGAGATGGTGTATAGGGTTTTCAAAAGTTACGTTCTGCACGTGTGAGTGGAGGCGCTCTGTTTAGTATTTTCGGTTGGGCCTTTTTCATGAAATTATTATACGGATGGAGGCATGGATCTTTCGTTTATATGTGAACCGTGATTTGCCTTTGTGTCGACAAGGGATATAACACCGTCTTCTTCAGTCTGCTTCTTGTGTTCGATTGCAGGGCGGAGAGAGAGAGAGCCGTGAATCGTCGACAATGGCATCTGCGGGAGAAGCAGTGGAGCAGACAGCGGCCACGGTGACGGCCAAGACCGTGAAAGATGTGAGCCCTCATGATTTCGTGCGCGCTTATGCTGCGCATCTTAAGAGAACGGGCAAGATCGAGGTCCCGCAATGGGCAGACCTTGTGAAAACCGCCTCCTTCAAGCAGTTGGCACCGTACGATCCCGACTGGTACTACATCCGAGCTGCGTCCATGGCCAGGAAGCTCTATCTCCGACATGGGATCGGGATTGGAGCGTTCAAGAAGGTGTACGGTGGCAGGAAGAGCAATGGTGTCCGTCCTCACCATTTCGCTACCTCCAGTGGCTCGATCGCCAGACATGTTCTCAAGCAATTGGAAGTTCTTAAGATTGTCGAGAAGGACCCCAAGGGCGGCAGAAGGATTACATCCAATGGCCAAAGGGATCTGGACCGGATTGCAGGGAGGATTGCTGTCGTACCTGTTGCTTAAGTCTGTAGTGAAAAGGTTGTTCTACAGTATGACGTGGTCCATTGACTGCTGCTTCTGTGATGTTTCCTCTTCGTCGTTGTGTTTCGAGCGTTGGTAAAGAGAATTACCTGTTTCAATCGTGTAAGAGATTCCGGAAGCATTCATCCAACGAAGCAATGTCGGAGAGTCGGTGTCTTTCGTTTGTTCCTTGGTTGTGGATTTGGAGGGGTGGGGGGGTGCGTGGTCGAGAGGGAAGGGGGGGTTGGGTCATTCATTTCTTCTCTCTTGGGTAACGGATCGAATTATTACCATACCGTCTTTTGAATGAATGGAGTGTTGAATTGAATGCCCAAGCGGGAAATGGGGCGTCTGGTCCGTCATGCCGAGTTCAAGAATGGAACAGAAAGAGGTTGTGTTGAAAACGTTTAGGGTTCTGGTCGAAAAGATTTAGGGTTTGGTGTTGTGCATTGTCTTCTTCACCGAAAAAAAGAATTGCGTCAAGCTTTTGGCTGAAATGATTTAGGGTTTGTTGTTGTGCGTCGCCCTTGACAGGGCCCTGCTTTTCTTCTGTAGTTGGTAATTGTGATGTCATGTTTTTATGTCAAACCACGAGCCAGCTTGATCCCTCGTCCGAGCCGGTTGTCGGAGAGGTGACCGTCCGTGCGGTCTCCGTCACACAAACACAGGGAGAGAGAGAGAGAGAGAGAGAGAGAGAGAGAGAGAGAGAGAGAGAGAACTCCGGGCGGGTGCGACGGGCGGCAGGCGGGGATGTTCCGCGGGCTGCGGACGGAATGAGGCCGGGCGGGCGGATGGTGGGGTCGGTCATACAGGTGGAGGGACGGAGACGACGACGATGTCGTGCGAGAGAGAGAGAGAGAGAGAGAGAGAGAGAGAGAGAGAGAGAGAGAGAGAGAGAGAGAGAGAGAGGTGGCGAGATGCGGGCGGGCGTGACGGCCGGGAGGCGGTGACTTGCTGCTGGTGGCGGAAATGAGATGCGGCGATTTCGTCCAAGAGCGAGAGAGAGACGCAGGACGGGGCTCCGGGGCGTTCCCGTCTACGTTCGAATAGGATCTACGGTCACGAGGGGGGTACATGAGGGCCGAAACTGACCGTACGTTCTATTGGGGTGAAGACGGGTTCGAGTAGCCGGGGCGGCGGAGTGGATGCGCGGGTTTGGGCGGCGGCCGCGACATCGGAGATGACAGGCGTGATTGCCGCGATTTCGAATGGATGCGCGAGACACAAAAGATGGGGATAGAGGCGAGTTTGGCGAGAGAGGAAGGAAGAGAGAGATCTCTCGCTCGTATTCTCGTGTCGAGGACAGGTGGGTTGAAGGCGTGCGTAAGGCGGGTAGGCGAGGATGTGGGTAGGGGAGGGTAAGGTGAGGGCGGGAAAAAGGTGGGTCGGAGGTGGGAAATCTGTCGGGATGGAGGTATTAAGGATGGGAATGGATGCGAGACGGAGGTAGTGTATCGACGTGAAGGAGGCGATAAGGAGCCGTGCAGCGGCGTGAAGGAGGCGGCGGGAGTTAGGCGGTCGGTGCGCAGCACCGGGCGTAGCGAGATCGCATGGGGACAGTGAAGGAGGCTGGCAGCCGTATACGATGCCAGCTTTCGCGGGATGGGGGCGCGACGCTGGAGAGAGAGAGAGAGAGAGAGAGAGAGAGAGAGAGAGGTTCTCAATGCGTACGAGATGCCAGCTTGAGTGGGAAGTGGGCGCAAAGCTGAGTACATTAAAAACAAGTCTAGATCAGGTTTTGTTGTGTCTATTTTCGAATCTGGGATGGTTGAGTAAGATTCTCTCTAACGAATCGGGAAGCTTCTAGCGAATGTAGTCCCGCGGCCAAGTCCCACTTACGCTGATTCTTCATTTCGGGCCGTTGATCTTCCGTATCTACGGTCAGAAGTTGAGATTTCGGGTAAGTGGGACTTGGCCTGCGCTGTTTGTGAGCCTAAAAGAAAAAGCTCGGGTAGCGTTGGCTAATACCAGCTTTTCCTTGCATGTGATTTCGTTATAATATCGTATTATTTGTCTTGAATGTATTATTTATATTAGGTTAAAGACGTGTAGATGTATACAAAAGTATATACGCATTTGTCCAAAATGACATTACGGGTCCCTGCCCAAGTCAAATTAAACGTAATTACGGGGGCCATTACCGGACTTCGGCATTTGCGAAAACGGCGGGAGAAAGAGGTGATTGCGCATTCGACCGTAGGCAGAGCTCCCTTCGACAATAACACGACGCTTAGGTGATTGCACCGGAAATAGACTAGCACTAATTAAACGATCGTACTTGTGAGAAAAATTGCAGGAAGGAACAAACCCTAGTTTTCCTTGTTGGATTCCTTTGTTCGTGAAATAAGGAGCAGTATCTCTTTATCTTATATTATGGTTTTGTAAAATACGCGTGATCATTTTTGTCGCGTGCTGATCAATATTATGTTGTTATTATTGTGATATAAAAATAATGTGTCGTATAGAACTGTAGTTCACCGAAGGCAGGATCGAAAATGGCAACGAAGGGCTGTAGTGAGACATGGCAGTTCTTCACGACGATGAAGAGGGAAGTACTGATAAAGATTTAACACTACGGTCTTCACCCGTATAGAACGCGCGGTCGTTGCAGCTGTATTTGGGTCAGCTTTCACTCTTGGTGCGGCGGTAATTACCGGGCGTTCTGTTTGGGTGAAGACGGTAGTACTAATATAGCAGTTAATTCCGTAATAAGTTAGCCAGGATACCAGAGCGGCCCGGGGCCACTTCCCGGTCGGGGCAAAACCAATTGATAAAAATCAGATAAGAAACTGTAATTTGTGATTTTATTTCTCGAAAGTTTTTCAGTTTACTTTTCTGCATAACAGTGTCTTTTCAGAATTTTGGGATTTCTTTTTCTTTTTTGCTGGGACGTTTTTGTTCCTGGCACAGATGCGCCGCCCGTGCAAACAAGGTGACCCGGGCGGCCCGGCTGGTAGCCTATAGGTAATAACATTATATGACAACAATCATGGTACATGTACTTTACCTTCTGAGTAATAGCATTAATAGTATTTAATACAATGTATATTGTCGAAGGCCCTGGTTTGTTGTCCTGCTCGCCCTCTCTGCCTACGTTTCACCCGGCTGTTATGTTTAACGATATATTTACGCGTTGCTGCTATAATATGCAGCGCGGCTATGAGCCAATTCGACTATTACGTTAATATGATTATGTGAAATGTGTGAGGCGTGTATTTAGTACTGATAAGAGTCTGTTATCAGTATGTACTGAGGCACAATATTAGTGCTAATGGTCTGCTATTAAAATATTAAAAAAAGTCAGTAGGCTTTTAGTATATGTAGTTTTGTGTTGTAAAATGTTCGTCTCATGCTATTCGTTGTATTGTTCGAGGGTCATCCGGTTAGGGAAAAAAATTTTCGTTGGGTCCTTTTCAACAAAGTGGATATGTGACTTTTCAAAAAAAATAAAATAAAATGTACAATACTACAATTCAGAGAAACGCGTGATTTTTTAGCCTATTGAAGTGTCTTAAAAATTTCGTTGTTTTGATATTTTGAGACCTTGGGTCCCTGGAGATGGGTTATAGAGAACAGGAAAACCAAAGTAGTCCTGGGTGAGAAGAGAGCATGGATCTTACGTACAAATATCAAACAAATATCGAACAAATATCAAACAAATATCAATGGGCCTAGCTCAGGTGGCACACCCATGAACTGCAGAAATGAAGAGCAGATCTCGAATCCAGATATAGATACCATCAGATGACCAGAATGAGATTTATGAACAAATTTGCTGCAGCGTAATCATTATGAAATATCACAAGTCCTTGGGGACATCCGTTTAACTTGGAACATATACAGATAATGAAGATTAGCATGGCCTCTGCGCCAAGGATGACACGTGTACATCAAGAAACGGTTCGAAAGAAAAAAGAAGGGAACAAAACAAATTATTACACCAAATTACAACTGGATGAGATCGGTCGAGCCCCTCGTTTGTTGTCCACTTCTCCCACTCTCCCTACGGATCGGGGGCAGTTCTCTACGACGATGTATGCTTGTTTATGTTCATAGCAAGATGTGTAGTGGTGTATGGTCATAGCAAATTGTGTAGTGGTGATATAAAATGCTAATAAGAAAAGCAGCAAAAGGTTATGTAGTGGAAATGCGATATATAGGAATGAAGGCATACTATGTCGAACAATGGTCATAACACTTCCATTTACATGAATGATTCTGTACATGACAGCCTCCTGGTGTGTCAATGATTCTGTACATGACAGCCTCCTGATGTGTCAGTAGAACGCTGACGAAATTCTCCCACTCTCCCACAGTCGTCTCGTTGTCGTTGTCCTCTTCTCCTCTGCGTACGGTCGTTATGATAATATGTAGTTCTAATATGCATTGACATATACACAGGCTTCAGCTTCTTTGTGAGCCGGTGAAACTCCGACGAAACAGACCCTAGTTTGCTGTCGTCTTCTCCCTCTCTCCTTTCGGCTCACGCTGGCAGTCCTCGAGCATGGTGTATTCTTTATGATTCGATTCTTATGTGAAATGAATCATCTCAGCGACGCTATACAGTAATGCACACGAACGCGTGTTCACAGCATGTAGGTTACACGTAGCCGAGAGACGGTTAACGGGGGCCCAAGTATTCGCCGTTTTCGTTGGCAATTGCGGTGCGAATTTCAGCAAAAAATTAAAAAACAAACGATATGAGGCCATAGTGCAAACATCGAAAAAGGAAACAGGCCCAAAAAAAACAAAAAAAAAACAAAGAAACACTATGAAACCCTAACACAGACTGTCCGAGTCAAAATGAGGCGTCTCTCCAACGAATTCAACAAAATGCCAACTTTTTCATTATTGATCCAAACATGTCAAAACTGCTCACATGACGTACCCTAAAGCACATAAATGTATCACAAAAAGAAAAACAAGAAAAAAAGCAAAAAATCAGCACAATATGACAGTTTCAGTGCTATTCGTTGACATCAGCAAAATTCGTTGAAAACCTGTGGAAGCACCGCATCCGCACTGTTTGCCACTTGAAAACCTGCCGACGCTCATTGGATGCGGTGCTTCCACAGTCCAACACTCGAACGGGTCCTGGTAGGTCTGCACTGTTTGCCACTTGGCATATAGGCAACGCCTTCCTGGTGGTGAGTACCGAGAACCTCGTGAAGTTTGTCTTTACTGCCACAGTAGTCTGCTCCCTCGGTAAGTACCGATATAACCCTGTGAAAAACTTGTCTTTACTCTTCTTACGTATCCATTGTTGTTTCTGCAGTATTCTTCTCTTCCCCTTCTGCCTATTTCTGAACTCGTTTAGAACGCCTCCCCTTGTGTAGCGCACCTGAATGCAAACGGAAGAGAGCATCATAAGCGGAATTTGTGCTGAGAAATGAGCAGCAGGAGTATACCCCACCCATACATTCCTCTGCCTTCTCTCATAGGGGCAAGTGGTCCGCTAAGGTACGGGGATGTGGGCAGCTGGTGCGCAATCAACACAATCAACGTGCGCAACCACAATCAACGTGCGCAACCACAATCAACGTGCGCAACCATCAGCACACTGGCAAGCCTTGTATGAGAAAACCTGAAAAAAGCCAAACAAAGGAAAGCGAAGAGGAGTGTGCACATGACAAAGGCAATGTCACGGTCTCAGTGTGCTTCATTCACGTTGTTCGCCTTCGAAGTTGAGTTGGTTCTATTTTGCATCCAGTCATCTTACTATCGTCTTCACCCGAACACAACGCACCCTCCTTATGGCTGTACCGGACCGGAAAGAGCGCCTCCATACATTCATTATCAGGGTGCGTTATGTTCGGGGGAAGACGGCAGTGTGGTTCATTTTGTTTAAAGATGGCCAAGACTCTTTTAATTTCGGATCGGTTCGTCTGGCTGGAAAAAGGGTCTGAACTTTGTGGTGGTACGAACTGGGGAGGCTGTTCTGGTGACAGTTTAGAACGCACGTGTCAGCTGTAGCATGTAGGGTAGAAACTGATGGACGAGTCACATCGGCAGCTGATCTGGCTGCCCTTCTGGCTATCAGTCTGCCAGATTCAGATGCTCATCCGGCGGACTGGTGTGCGTGGTGGTCCCACGAAGTCCGATGCAACCGTAGCACACCGGTGCTTTTCGCGGCAGAGTGAGTGCCCACTGAAAATAGCTACACGCACACACACACACACACACACACACACACACACACACACACACACGCAATGTTGCATCTTCTACTATATGCCTGTCTACACCTTGTTTATGGATGGTTTGTGACGATTTGTGGGTGGAATGAGAATGTATGTCCCCTTCTTAACACATTGATATGTATTTATGAATCTATAAGAAGTGCAAACTTGGGTGTGTCTGTCTTTTGTCTTGACTCACTAAGATGCTTGTTTCCCTCGTTTACGTATTTGTGGGCATGGTGAACAGTTTCTGTGTTGGGGGAAATGAAAGTGTGTCGTCACCAGTTATCCCATAAACGTACATATGTGCGACACCAGCAGGCTTCTCCAGTGGATTTTTGTTTTATCTCGTTTTGTTTTTATGCAATGACGGTCCTTGCTTGCTAGGAGGGGGGATAGGAGAAGCAGGCCCCACCAGCAGGCTTCGCCGGATGCCCGCTATATTGACAGGCCGCTTGTGCCATTCTATAATAGTTTGCACTGCGAGGTAGTTAGTAGCGAGAACCCTGGGAAGTGCAGGGTTTTCCGTATTCTTTTCTTCTCTCAACCACCCCCTTCCTGAGCCTTTTATCCATTCTCCCTCCGTCCGTGGAAAACTA